ATATATAACATACTTACACTGTAAAAACAGTGTGGAGGATAAAACCAAAACTCCACACAATGTTCCTCTTACGTTTAAATCGTCATCAAAAGCGGGAAAAATTGCGTGGAGTTGTGATTAAATCCTCCACGCTGTTGTAAAACTATGTTATATATATATACACTATATATAATTTTTATATATTATATGTATATGTTACCCAATACCTTTTGAAAAAGTTACCTAATACGAGAATCCAAGGGATTAAAGGCCTGTACCACTTGGTACATAGCCTCAGTTAGTTTCCAGTGTGCTTCTTCAGAAGTTAGAATCGCTACCCGTAGTTCAGTCACTCATAAACACAGTCTTATCATCAATTAGGTGATTTTGTTAAATAGAGAAAAAACTATTTTATGAATAGTGTTTTTAAAAGTTCTATAAACTGGGTTCAAATTACGTCACAGCCAAAGTCCAAATATTACGTGAGAATACCGTTATTATTTCTTACTAGATTCGCTACTCAGCAGCCATTAACAAGATCGCCTTTAAGTGGTGAGCTATTGGACTCTCTCAATTACATCCACTTAAGTGACACTTCTTATTATAAACTTCTCAAACAGAAAACACTCAGAACACTCAATGTACTTAAAACAATGTTGTAAAATGCTTGAAAACATAACACGTCAAATAATATGCATTTCCTATAAAAGCTCACACTTCTAAGGAGTTTGAAGCACTGTGCAAGGGCTACACAGCAACGGAGGATAACACGCTAAACGCTGTAAACGTCGGAAACTTTACCCAAAGGTGAGTGACATAACTCGATAGCTTAAGAACTCATGTCATTCATGTATTAAAAACGATTTAAATCGTCAATATCCGATTTACCTGTATAAGCATGTATTGTGAACAGATTTTTCATTTGATACTTTTGCATTTTAAAGGCATGTTTTAGAATAATATTTTATTAGGCCTATTATTATTATTATTTAAATCTTTACTATCATGCCGATGGAAATAACATCAACGATCGGTGCTACCAATCCTTTTTTTTTTAGCACGACTGGCATTCCATCACTTTGTCTGACTGCCAGTTGCACTAAATTTGTGCCCTCCATTTAATAATTTCATTTCGTCACTGATCTAATACTACATCCTACTTTCATTTACGTCATTCAAAGTATGTGTGAAGTATTACATTTTTGCCATCATTAAAGTACGATAGTTTAGCAACTAGTTTACCATCTCTTCCTACTCCTTAATTTTTTCCCCCGGCAGTTTTAACCACTATCATTATTCTCATTTAAATGAAATTTCGTAGAAAAGATGGCAAGAAAGAGAACTACGAATGGAAGCCTTGCTTGTGTCGTGATTTTGTTAATTCTTATCGAACACACCTTATGCTCCGACGTGCGCAATAGGTACGTTATCATGTTAAATTACAAAATTTCCATCGCTATATCATCTGCAAGTAAGTGTTGTTCCTCTCGCACTTAGTGAATTAGATTAAAAATGTGATTAAGGCATACTTTGTCTTGTCCCTTCATGGTTAAATAAGGTCACGATAATGGATTTCAAATGTAGATCAATTAGCCTCTTTTAGGCTACAGTTGCATAACGTCCTGATTTGCCCAATAAATTTGCTTTTTCCTAAGACCTAAATTTTCCAAAACGCTCGTGTGGAATATTACAACATTACCAACAATGCCTATTATACGTGTTTGAATTCAGACACTTCGTGATAAGATGTGTCGAAATCTAACAAGCATCAAATTTGAGACCTGATTTCTTCGAAATGAAGAAAAAAACTCACTTAATAGAACGTGCCAATTAGGTCCATACGCTGTAATATTAATTTAATTATTAACTTTACTATTGACTTCCATATCCATACTTTTTCCATGATATAATTTCCTCTGTATAACAGTTTTACAGAAGCCGCAAAGAGAAACGAAACCCCGTCACTGATTAGGCTTTTACAAGACGTTTTACTAGAACACACTGAAGCCCAAATGCAGTACCTTCAGAGACGTCTGCAAGAAGATCTGGAGACTATAGAAAGTGTAGTCAACCAACCAAATCGCAGCAAAAAGTAAGTAGTGGAGAATAACTGCTCTGATTAAGATGGCCACCTTAAATCTCGTAGTTCTAGTTCAGCTTTCAGCCTAAATGCCAGGAAATAACTCATGTCTTCAACATATACCAATAAAAAGTAAACAGGGGTTGCTGAGTGATCAAGTATAGCCTGTACGATGCAATTTGATTTTATAGATGCCAAGAAACAAATTTTTAGTTCAAGACAATATCGATATTTACTACTCGCCCCACCACCTCACCTAAAAACATAGAGAAATTTTAATTTATAGAGACATATCCATTAATATTTTCGTTAAACTATAAATTAATCAAATCCATAATTATAGGCCTACATAAAAAAAAAACAAATGATAAAAGTTGTACAACCGATGTAGGGCCTATATAAATACAGTACCTAACGGTATACTAAATTTCATCCAAAAATTGTACCTTGGGAATTAGAGAATAAATGGAAATATTAATATTTGAAACAAGGTACCGGAAATGAGAAATAAAAATTACAAATATTAATCATCATTAGACTCAGTTACATGTATAAATTGTGCACTTTTGTCTCTAAAAATAATATACATATTTCATATTAAGGGACATTTTAACTAATATTATACTCATAAACGAGATCAAGATGAAAATTATTCTAGGACTTAAATAATTTAGAGATGTGCATAATATATTAGTTTTCTTATCTTATCCATTTTGGGTTGACTGTGTGATTGGGATTGATCCATTTGTGTTCACTTGCCAATTTTCTACATTATTTCGAAAATAATTTTCTTGTCATTACTGAAACACTGAAAATTATAGCAATTACTAAAAAATAAATGTCAATTATACCAAAGAATAAAAAATGTTTAAAGTTGACAGATACGTTTTAAAAATTAATTATAATTTACAAAAGTATTTCCAAAAAATAAATATAATTTCCATGTAAAATTGGATAGGATAGGCATAGGATAGGAATATGTTTGTAGCGATTCACACCATAACCCACTAAAAGTCCGAAGACTTGTTTCCAATGAGGTCCTCATTCTGGTGGTGAATTGGGGAGTACACCAGAAGACAATTCCCTACTCTTTTCCGAAGAGTGTACTGTTTTCTTTAACGGGACCAATGGCTTAAACGTCTCATCCGAAAGACGGTGCGCTGTCATAACTTGGCTCTCCAGCTGGAACACAATGAGAGCAGCGATGTGAATTGAACCGGGACTATATATCTCCACGGTCCTGGGCAGATACATGGGGCTACTAACAGTTTAGCCGACTAAGCTAAGCTGCTCTCTGACCGTTTTAGACCTAGTTAAAGTCTAAATAAATATAAAATACAAATCTATCGGCCCCCATTGTCTACACGGATCAATCGCAACAACTCCATGAGCCTTCAGTCTGATTATCATATCCATAGACTCATTATAAGGCGAAAAGAGTATTAAGATATTTTAATGAACAAACATCCATCTAGCACTTGTAATGATTGACCATCACACCTAAAAGGGTAAGATCGAGCACCCAAATCATTTTAACGAGTATAAACATATCATTACACGGATATTTAAACTTGTTAATCAGGCCCTGTCTACATTAAATACTATAGATTAATTCCTAAGGGAGCCTCTATACTATAATTTTACGCTCATTTACAAGATCAAGACGACAATTGCCCTAGGCCTTAATAATTAACTTAGAGATATATACATAATTAAGTTGTTTTCTTATCTACTTTATTCTTAGGTAATGTTGAGTCGACTCGACTCATAATGCAAGTAACTGAGTGGAATTACATGAATAATGATATATATTTCTGACTACATAACAATAAATTATTGTCATTACATTGAAATAATAAAAAAATATTTATTTAATTTATATTTTAAAAATGTCTCAGTTCGAAATGATAAATACTAATCTCAACTACCTAAGCCTCACTTATCATTTCCATATAGTGAGGCTTAAAAGGCGATTGATCCCACACCTAAGAGAGTGGAAGTAGAGTAGGACAATTAATAATAACTTAATAAAAAGACACAGTAAACGTTTAACAACGCTTTTGCGATTGAAATAAACATTGAATCAATTTGATATGTGCAAATGTTGAAGCATCAGCAGTAGGCTATACCATGCAGTATGTTAGCAGATCAAATGTAGTGCTCTTCAAATAGGGTCACATATAACAATACACGACAGTTTTCCATCGTCAACGACAAAGTAGGCCTACGAAAAATTACAGATAAGCTTTCATTTGAATTTATTCAACCACATTCATATATTAACGAAGGCGATGACTTTTGAATTGTAAAAATAATGAGTAAAACGACTGTCTTGATCAATGTAACTTTTTGTATCCTTTGTCAATTCTCCAGTGCAACAACAACAAAAAAACATCAAAAATATAGTAAGAACGAATACTGCCTACCATTAGCCTACACACTATGCATGTCATAGGCTTATAAGGCCAAAGCTCACATACCCATTAAACTAAATTATTGTTGGCTATAAAAAAAAATAAAAAAAAACCATGTGCAGCCTATGGATAGGATCGTTTGTCCAGTGGGGAGGTCTATTTCTTTTTGTCAAATGGCGGTCTGATATTAATTTAATACAGAGTCGAGTTGAATTTTAATTGGGTGAGGTTGAGCAAACAAGTTCTATTGGTCTAGTAGAGCGGAACTCCGTATTCTGTCGGGGAGGGGATCGTCCGACAAGAGAACGCTTGCCCTTTGACGTAATTTGTTGTTTTGCTTTTCTTGATGAGCATTCAAATTATTATGAGTTATTAATCCACATATACAGTACAATAATTAGACCTTTAATGAGAATTTTAGAACTTACTTTCAGTGGAGTATACAGTGATGATTTGTTATATTTTATAAAAGCAGTGCTATGAGCAACTGCATATAGGCATGAATTCTTGCCTGTCGCCTTGCGGATAATAGAATTAACATTTATTGGTACTTTCTTAGTGCATTTTTAGAGACATTTTTCACTGTTGAATAAGAATTATAATAAATACATTTAAGGTTCGTTCGTTCACTCCTGAAGCAACTTCCAGTTCCTTCTGTATGTGGTTATTTCGTCTCTCCATCATTTTTTTTTTGCCTTCCTCTCCTCCTTTTCCCTGCCCGAGGCTGACATTCTGTGAGTCTCTTTGTCCATCTGTTATCTGAGATTCTTGATATATGTAGCCCATCTCAACTCCATTTCATCGTCTCTATGATGACATATGTTACCAATGTTTAATTCCTAATGAGGGTGTTTCCACCTTATCATGTAGTGAAATGTTCATCATTCTACTTTCGTATTGACTCAATTATAGCCTAATATCTAATATAATAATATAAGGGCTAATAACACAAAAACAAAAGAACAAATAAATTTAAAATATTCAAAATTTAACACGTATCGGTGCCAAAAACCTTATCAGACTGATACTAAACCACCCTTGTTGACCGTCTCCAAATCTGTTTGGCAAGTTGTTTTCATTTTAAAGTTTTCAGTACCAACATTTTGTTCTAATACCTTAGGCCAGATACTGAAGGATAGCATGAAAATCCTGACCAGATAATATATCCACTATTTATATACCAATTTTGTTATAAGTGTTTTTTTAAACCAGTTAAACCTTAGACTCACTAACAGCAGTGCGTTAGCATAAACTGGAGGGTACCGCTATGGTTAGTATGCTAAAGCTTAGCCTATAACCAGTGGTGGATCTATAAAGAGGTGTATTTTTTGTAAACAAAATTGTTAAAGCTTTAAATAAAAAAATTGCCATACTAAATGGTAAAAATCAATAAAATACAAACTCAAATTAATGATGGTGCTGGTTTGTGGGGGATTCGCCCCCTTGCATCACTACCAGTGGCACTCATTTTTCACTTTCTTGCCGCACTGGATCCGCCCTTGATAATAATTTTTCTTCGTAATGTGCTTCCTTAAAATACTATTAAATTTGTCATCAGACTATTTACTCCGGAAAACCTAATCAAAATAGTCACAGCATTGAATTAAAATAGAGTACATAAAAGCAGCCATTAATACAGTAGACAAATAGTCTGTCCACACTCATGCTAAATTGAAATCATCTACAAAGGCGTAGGCGCAAAAGTACCGTCAAAAACGCTCCCTATAGTCTTATAACTACCCAAACAACCACTCTTAAAAACTCTTCTAACAACATATCCATTATACAGACAGAATGAAACAGGATATATAGCACCTCATCCACATTAAAAAAAGATCAGATTATTCATAATTCAACCCAAAATGTCAGCTTTTAATTGAAATTAATATGCAAAAGCATTTTGCATAGACGGAACGTATATCAAAATTACGAAACAGAGTTTAAAAATTTTAAGTCTAAAAGAATATAGGCTTGTTTTAATACCTAAGAGAATATGCCTATCTGTATAAATAATATATGGCAGGCGAGAGCATTATGCGGGGTACACTGCGGTCGATCGAATTCTCGGCTCGACGCCGTCTGCTGATTCTCATTGGCACTGCTGCTTCTCATTGGCGATTCGTTGTAGAACACGGTTCGTTGCGCTCACTCGGCACTCACTGCGATTATGGAGAACACAACACCTCGACGCGCACGTAACGGATCGTTTTTAATGACGCTGAGAATACCACTGACAATCAGCAGGCGGTGTCGCGTCGTCTAGCGCTCACAGGGAGCGGTCGAGTCGGATCAGTCGTACGACGCACCGGGTTCCTGACTTCAGGCCGAGCACGGTGTCGGTTCCAATGGACTCGCGCTGGAGCTTCGGTGGCCCACGTTAGCAAGTCCGGCTTTTGAGAGGCGAAGCGCTCGCGTCTAAATTACATTATGATAAAAACATTTTCGCAGGCTATGCTAATTGCAGGCTCGAACTAACTACCGTAATTAGGCCTACAACTTAATTCTGTGCATCAGGCCTAAATATTGGATATCACTAACGAATGAGACAGCTTCTGACAATTACAATTCTCATATTATTTTGATGCACTAGCATGATTAACTATAATTTGTAATATTTGGATGTCAATTATGATCTGTTGCCATTTGCATTACTATATTAATCACCGCCTGATGTCTACTGCAACAAAACAGCGATCTACCGGCGCTACCTTAAAACACCGGAAATCAATAATTTGAAGATGCGTGGGGAACCAGCAGTGTATGTCGCCCTATAAGTTTTAGACACTACATTTCCCTCTGTGGCGCAATCACACAGAAACTCCCCCACACACACGCCCACATGCAGACACATCGCATACTTGTACTATTTTTGATTTATATGTGCATGTGTTGCTACTAACTTTCATTGAATACCGTAGGTCATACAACGGGATACATTAATTTACAGAACGAACGAATACAAATATTTTTCATGAAATACAGACTTATTACTAGAAAAACCCTTAAATATATTAATGATATAGGCCTATTCAAAGACTTTGTAAAATACTATATAGGAACGGTATATTATACATCTAATCCCTCATAATATGTTGTGTGAATGACAATATATTAATATTGCATCATATCATATCAAATATTTCTGGTAAACCTTACATAAAATGATAGAAATATATTTCACATTGAATCAAAGGAAACTGATCATGTGGTACACATTACTCTGTAGAGCTTGCAAGAATATTTTCTTCTGCTTTAATACAGATTTAGTATCATCTGGGATTCTTTCTACCAATGTTGCCAAAAATGGTCGTCTACTTAATTTCAAATTAGCTGCAACAATTTCTTTTAAATTAAGAATATTCTTTTTGCTTTAGAAATTCAAGGAATTTTAATGCATATTTAATGTTTTTTAAAACATTTTATTGGAGATGATACTCAGGTTGTCAATATAAAGCTTCTATTCCTTCATAAAAGCAGCTGCTCATATGCTTCTCTACCATTATTTTATAGCTGCAGCAGCTAAACCCTGTCTCTTATACACATCTAGATGTGTATAAGAGACAGCAGTAGTTGACTTTGTACCATTTTTGTTTTAAATTGTCATCGCAAATAATCATACACGACAATTTGCCTGTCTCTTATACACATCTAGATGTGTATAAGAGACAGGAATTACAGTAAGTGGTCAGGTGTGTGTTGCTTTTGGCTACGTGTCAAATTGAATGTGGGATCTTGTAATGGCTAACTTCCAAGAAGTGCTGTAGGCCTTCTCCACATTTTAACGATGGTTACTGACCATAAATTTTGCATCTCGTCTACGGTTAACACCAAGGTTGTGATTAAAAAACAAACCTATTTCTGGCTGTAAATAAGGATTTACTTCCCCAAGGCTTTTAAGAATTACCTGTATTGGTAAAATATGATAAAATAGCCGCATACATATGGCACCGAGACATGGCCGACCACTTTATGTCTTCAAGCAGAAAAAAAACAAAAACAAAAAAAACAACAAAACTAAAGGTTACAGAGTGCTTAGAGGAAAAGTACATATAAACACGTGTGTTTGTTGGATGTGCGCAGGGGTCCCTCTCCCGAAAATCCGAAGGGTCTGCCGCACGGAAAATAACCCATGTAATTATTATATTTTCAATTGTCTCACGGTCAGTGCCGATGGATATCACCATACACAGCAAAATAAAATTAAATATGTTAAGAAAGCTCATTTTAACCAGGTCTACCGGAAGGGATATCTTCCAACTTGCGACCCCTATGTGTGCACGTGTTTTCTAGTCATGATTTGATGGTCAGTTGGTAAGTTTGATTGAAACCTCAGAAAGGTTCACTAAAGACCAGGAAATGCTGAAGAATTTACTTTCATTCACAGAAATTGCTGCTCCTATTTTGATAAAATAAACAAGTCAAGTCACTTTACACGGAAAGACCTCTTTTATTGATGCGAACTTTACTCAGCTACGTGCATCAGTAATCCACATTAAAAATAACAGCAAATGCTGAAGAATTTACTTTAATTCACAGAAATTGCTGCTCCTATTTTGATAAATAAAATAAACAAGTCAAGTCACTTTACAGGAAAATACCTCTTTTATTAATGTGAACTTTACTCATCTACGTGCATCAGTAATCCACATTAAAAATAATAACTGAGTCGTCATCATTTCTATTTCTTAGAAAACATGTTATAAATCTTAATAAATATAAAACACTTAATCAAAAATCACACTACGTATAAAAAAAAATAAAATGGTAAATTATAAAATCATATCACCTTGTTTATGACTATTGATAAAGCAAGTACTGTATCCCAGAAATTGATTTCAGACAGTCCAGTAGGCCAACTTATTAAAACGAGTCAGTAAACGTGCAAGAACACTTTTACATTGTGGTCTTATTTCTGGTAGTACATGTCCGGGGCATGGACGACCACAAAGTCTTGAAAAAAACCCCCAAAAACTACTGGTTACAGAGAGTGCTTAGCTGTGAGGAAAAGTATATTAGAGCATTAAAGGGGGACACCATCGGGACAAAAAAGTGTCCCCAGAATAGGGGCATCGTATTTAAGGGAGATTATCGACATGATGCAAAATAGAAGAGGAAGAGATCTAATAAACAAAATTTTAAGGAGCCTGGCTAATATTTTCTATTTTATTTATTTTGTCATCAATACTATTTCTTTAAAAATCATGTTATAAATCTTAGTAAATATAAAACAAATATAAAATCCGAAATATAAAAATTACCCTTGCACTATAAAATAAATAAATAAATAAAATGGCAATTTATAAAATCCTCAGCATGTTGATGCCATCAATTTCTCTTGCTTTCTCTCTTGATTATTGATAAAGGGGTCCTAAATCTCCCTTGTGTCTTCGAGTGTCCTGGAAATTGATAGTCTCCCGAACAATTACGAGCTAGAAATGATCCCCTAAATTAACCACCTCCCACAAGTTCATACATCTGCATGGTTTTAGTGCTATACAGTATTAACAATTGCCCCCTCAAATCAGCTGCACATGGGCATACCACACGAAGCAAAATACAATTATCAAATGTGTTCAAAAATCTTGTTAAACCCATTTCTCCCAGAAGTGGAGAGGCGCAGATCCAGAGTTCATACTGACTATCGCACAAGGAGGTGGATTCAGAGCTACATATATCTTACTATATGGTGACAAGTAAATGATGGGGCCATTAGCGAAGAGAGTGTAATTTGTGGTGGTTCTGTCAAATGGAAAGCAAACGTTAGAGGGATATACTGTATCAAACAACTGGTTTGAAATTGGGCAAAATATACTAGAGCAAACGAATATCATCGCATTCAAAATTTCAGGCTTTTAATTAGAAAAAGTCTATGCAAAAGCCTTGTAGTAAAAGTGTTCTCCCAAAGCTGTTTTAGCCGTCAATATGTGTGCTTCATCAACGAATTATGTTTATTCAAACATCTGCTTGACTTTAGCATCAAGGAGAAAAAATGAAATTATACAATGAATGACTTTCCATGCATTGAAGAAAATTAATTTAAACTCTACAATCATGTTTGTTTAATGGCTTAGAATAACTGATATTTTTAGTTCAGTATCTGCATATCATTATAATTGTTGTTCAATACCAGTATTAATTTTTTTAAAAATCCAATACAATATCCTATCATGTTTTGCAGAAGTCAATGTTTACAATGATATAAGTAGGCCTACCAGCTGTTTCTGATCTAAAAAAAAAATAAATAAATATGTGCTACAGATTTTGTCTGATTTAACACCCATGACTAAAACCCTGAGATGTTTTATATTTAACTAAACTATTTTTTAGAACTTCATAACCGGTCAGGAGCTTTTTATTCTGGCAAATAATGTCGGTATCACAGGAAAAACATATCAATGCAACACCTGCAAATCAGCCTATAAAAAATTAAACGTTTAGAAAAAGATGGTATATTATTATTCTACTATTTCTAAATAACTCTAAAATAACCTATTTATCTCAGTAGCCTACAATAGCCAGATTGCTCCTGATTAATAACAGTCCCTTTCTAATAACATCATTATTTAGAGAGTTACAAATCACTTAATTATTTTGTATATTTATCTGTCACCCTGACCGTCAATATGGTGCCTGACCGTCAATATGGTGCCTGACCGTCAATATGGTGCCTGACCGTCAATATGGTGAACTATGCGAAGATCTGGATCCGCATCTGATGGTTTCTCCAAAATTGGAACCCCTGTTGATACAGTAGTTGACTTTGTACCATTTTTGTTTTAAATTGTCATCGCAAATAATCATACACGACAATTTGCTGAGGCATGTTGAAAAATGACATTATTCTCACTTTCCTGTGATTGGCTTGGATGCAGATAGTACCCACGTTTATATGATAAGTTAGACCTGATCTGCATATGAGCGAATGAGTTCAAATTCCACAGCCTTTTTGAATAGGCGATCTAATTGATTACGGACTGGCAGCATTTCAGGTTTTTCATCTTTTGAGAGAGCCATTAGGATCTCAAGAAGACTAGTCTCTACAATCTTACTGGCGTTTAGCTTGTTGCTTTCCACAATGTTAGCCAGTGTGTGGCACGTACGGTGTAGCAGCTCTACATTCTGTGACACCAGTGACTCCTGCATTATGTCCATCCACGAATTCACCTGAGAATTACAGAAAACAATCAAAATCATTTAATTATTTCTTCTGATTAAGATTATGCAAATTTTAATGAAAACTGGTGATATTCTTTAATCTAGTTTAACGTATATTAAGAGCTTTTCGTTTAACATATATAGAGTTTACATGCATAATTCTTAAACAAAAAAAAAAAAATAACAATCACAAAATCATATAATTTAATTGGCAACAATAGAGTAATATTTCTATTTCTTATTTGCAAAGCACTTTCCAATAAACATCTCACATAAACGTCTCAAAGTGTGATGTACATTATTAACCTCTGGTCATTGGAAAAAGTACAATCACCATCACTCCCTAGGGAAGAGTTCCCAGTCAAGCACGAATATTCAACCTAGATCAAATACATTCAAATAGAACTTCCAAACCGGGCACTCATCCATCATCGATGCCTAATTTATGACGTCTCTTGCTACTGTAAAGCTTCCCGGCTCCAGTAAAGCCCTCATTGCATCCTACGACCGTCGTGCGACAAATCTAACTGTGCTCCCTGTGAGCTCCAGCCGACGCGATGCCGTCTGCTGCTTGCCTGTGGCGGTCTGAATGGACTGTCATTAAAACGGTCTGTTGCATGAATGTCGTTGCATTGAGTTTTTTTTAGAATCGCGTCGGTCTACGACAATCGGGCACAGTAAGTGTCGGGCTTAAAAAGCAATTTTTTTTTTGTATTGATCATTTTTTAAATTGTTATTTTATCAATTATGTTCTCAATTCCTGAAACTTTTGTATTTTATTGGTTGCCAGAGGAAAACAAATTTATGTACCATGGACTTATTCACAATTGTACAGTATTTTTTCTTAAAAACCAACAGATGCACTGATTATGTTTAAATAACAAAGAACAAACGTTACTCTGAATAAAGAAAAAGAGGCCATAATTCGTCATTTTTTATTATTTTACTTTATTTACATACCAGGGTGGACACTAATGTAGATAAAATTGTAAGTGCTAGCACACGAGCTAATGACCGGCATGGGATTCAAACCTTTTCCTTACAGTTGAGAGCCTGAATCACAACCACTATACCAAATGAACCCAAATCAATATGTATAAATTAAGGGAATAAAAAAATATGAGACAAATACTCTTCCTTACCATCAGAATTTTGTTACAGACAATTTCATTGGTTGAAAGCATTGCCAAAGCACCAGATGCGGCCATCTTGAGCTTCAAATCTTCTTCACCCGCTAATAAAGTCAACAATTTAACTTTATCATTATCCTTCAGGAATAATTCAAACACCTAAAATGAAAAAAAAAAAACCAAAAAATAAACAATACACATATAAAAAAACCCAGATAATGATAATAATAATAATAATAATAATAGCTGTCTCTTATACACATCTAGATGTGAATAAGAGACAGTAATATAACATCACAAAAATATACAGCATTATGAAAATTTATTTTTAAAATACAGGAGTTAAACCACATGCTTGATATATTTATTGCCCAGCTTCAAAACCCAAGAGCTTAAGTTCAATCTGTAAATACTAGGATCAGCTGAGATCAACATTTTGGAATTTCTCAGGATTAGAACCAAGGCCCTGGGATTTATAGGCAAACCTTTCAACAACAAAGCTTGGGGTTTAGGATATGTATCTATGATATAAGTATAAATTATGATAAATAATAAGTAGGCAGATTTATATATGACAAATGATGAAAATATAAAGAAAACATCATTTAAAAGATACGATACAGTATTCTACACAAAAGATAAAACTTTATATATTAATCTCTTTGGAATGTCTGTTTAAAATCATTTAGTGAGATTAACCTAGCCCAGCATGATTCACAAGTGTAAACATAACCTCTATCCCACATTGTTATTGTTACTAAATACTACAACATGTTAAAAAAAAGCTCTATAACTGTAATTAAACAAGACGACATCAATTAATTGTGGTGATCTTTTTTATCCATCACGAACTAATTTCATTTGTTCATAAAATGACGGAAGTTATAAATCAATCCATTTTTTTTTTCAGATACTGGTGCAGATAATTTATTAATGATTATTTAAACATCATCAATCATCTGCTCCAATTAAAATGGTACAGACTCTGTAGAAGCCGACCCCAGACATATCAAATGTGTAGGTTGTAAGGGCTTGCTAATGGAACATAAATATACTTTGCAAAATTTGTCTGAGAAGATATAGTACTAGGGTAAAGCATAGGAAACAGGCACATTTGCCCCAAGGGTTTGATAGTCAGACACAACAGGGCAGAGAAAAGGGGAAGTTACAAATCTTGCAAACTGTCATTTCCATAGTAACATGAATGAATGCGAGACATTGATGTTAAATAAAAGAGACAGAAAAGATAGAATAAATGCATTTTATTAGTGCTAGAAAAAAATTTAATGTGAAATGTATAGAATGTATAACTAAAGCCAGCATAAGTGAGGAATGACTATAATTTTATTCTAAATAGGTTTATACTGAAATTGTTTTGACATACAAGAAGAGATGAGGGGTAGAAAAACATCTAGAAGGGTGGTTAAAGTGTCACATAGGCAAATGCTAAAAACAGGTCATCCGAGGTATAATGTAGCATAAAGGGCAGTATGGTAAATTCAACTTTCATGTTTTTGTTTTATAATTATCATCACTCCAGTTCAAAAGCTAAAGTGTGACTATGTAGAGCAAATGAATGCACAAAGATAAATACAACAACAAGTAACATACAATAATATTACCACCCAACTATTCCTAAATTTAAGAAATACAAAATTATTGTTTTTATGAATTAATAGGAGTATAAACATGGATTAATTCATAACAATTTGTGGAAATACACCAAGGTTGTGAAAGGCTGTATATATAAATATAAAATAAAGAAAAATTAATACAAACACAACAGATTTTTGCTTAATTAATATTCATTTTAAATGTTCCCAACATGTAGTGTGGCCTAATTCTAGGGTTCCCTGTCAAAGATGACTCAACCTTTTATGTTTTGCTTGGAAAAATGGTTAAAGTCTGACAATGTACATATTTCATTCTATCAAGCATTTGCGATATAAAATCAAAGGGTACTGGTGTGAACAAAATACAAAACTATTCAATATGTTGGAAATTCCTCTCTCACAACAACCTGACTATTGAATGGGAACATATAATCATTCATTTCATTTTCATTTCACATTTACAAAAAAAAAAAAAAAAAAAAAAAAAAAAAAAAAAAAACATTAAAAATTGGTCACAAATGGTGGCCCAATGGTCAAATTGTATGATAAATTACTATTCTTTCAAAGATAATATAGTTTTAAAAAAACAGCCAAGCCTATTTAAAAGATTGGCGTTCTTTTCAGGAGAAAAAATACAAAATAGAAAGCCAAAAGACCTGAATCTCAATATTATTTCAACTGTACTTTGGATAACCCTCTGATTATGGCACAGAACACTACACATCAAAACAATTAACAATGCACAGACAAAGGTGGCAATGTTTAGAAGGTTATTAATGGTGATTAAATATGGTTGATGGATATTGACAGTAGGTATACACACCTGAGAGAGGCATCTCAGGTGTTAATATTTCTCTATACTGATGTCCTGTTTAATTAATAGTTTTTGCTTTCGCGATTACTATCGGGACATGTACTATTTTGGCAATCCATAGAGGGCAGTACCTACTTTTTAAGTTATGCTTTTAAATATATACTTTGTTTGAAGTAAATAGCCACAACAAAAATAATAACCGACTTAATCCAAGTGGTAGAATGAGGCTACTCAGAGCAAAAACAAACCGTTATGCGAAGTCATTTATCCCCTTAGGGCATCACCCAGTTCAACAAGAGGTTCAGAAGATAATTCATTATCAATATAATAATATCAATAATAATTTTTAACTGTATTAATTACGATAATGATAATAATAATAATAATAATAATAGTAATAATAATAATAATAATAATAGTAATAATAATAATAATAATAATAATAATAATAAGAATAATTAAAATAATCACAATTGTAATTCAATTATTTTATCGATGGTAGTCATTGTATTTTACTTGTAAATTGTTATATTTTCTATAGTGACTCTTTTGTATGTTTTGTATGTTTTTATATTTGTTTTACATTTTTTAATATAATATGTGATGACGAGCTGAAGAATTTCCCTTGTGGAACAATAAAGTTATCTTATCTTATCTTATCTTATAATAATAACAATTTTTATTTACAAATGCTAACATGCAGTTGTGGAGGAGGATCACAGCAGCAGCCCCATGATTTTGAAAATAGGTGACTAGATTGGTTGTTGGGTGGGGGTGGGGGGGGATACCATTTCAAACTCTGCAGAAAACTTGCATCACTTACTTGATCGCTTTGGATCATGTTGCACATGCATTCGGTGGCAGCTCGTCGAATCATATCGTGTTCTTCAAACATGTAATTTTCAATGGAAGGGATGCCACGTTCTTTTACAATACGGTTTCTACATAAAGGTAAACAAACATTATTATTATTATATTTATATATTAGAAAGACCTTATTACTGATTCAATTGTGATTTTATGTTGTAGTTATACAAGAATTAGACACTCATTTATCTATTCAATGCAAATTAATGCTTTTCCTATAGAGGCATACAGCAAATTGGTGCATTCAAACACCAGAAATAAGAAGAAAGAACAAAATCAAGTAAATTAAACACACTAAACAATTATTTCGCAACAAAATTAATCTACATCCAGCCATGAAAGCGGAAACAGTCAGTTGTAGAAATTATAACTAACAATGATAACTAAATCATAAAAAAAAGGATAAGTTTCATTAAATCACCTCATTAAGCCTGGTTCCTTAAAATCGCTACACTATCGCTACAGTTTTTTAACGCAAACATTGCACTGGCGTAGCAGTCCCGATGCAATGGGGACGGCTCCCCGATACAACCAACCAATCAGCATCACCAAAAGCTGTTGGCGATAGCAAGCTTCATTCAAATACTTAGCTTGATTTTTTAATCACCAAAAATGAACATAATGAACAAAAAAAATTTTACTTTAATACTTCATTTTTTAGGTGCATAAGTACACAAAATTTCTGCTATGCCATTACTATGATTAATATTATCAAATATAACTCAAGGTATATGAGTTTTTTTTTTCATAAGCTAATGAAAAAAACCTCTTCCCAAGCTGACATTTTGATTAACTGTTCTGCAATTATCTTTCTAATGCCTCTTAGAAATATAAACAACTAGAAATCATCTTTAATGATTGGTTGTGAAGCTACATTAATATCTATGCACACTGCATTGCAAAGTGGCAAAGTCAGTTCTTCAATGAACCAACAATAATGTTGACGGGCTGTCTAGACAGCCGTATGATAGCATTCATACTAACTCCATGTACAGTATAAGGATTACTTACTGTATGATTTCATCTTCATAAATCTACGACCCAAGCATTTATATAACTTTTCATAGTAGTAAAATGTTTTAGTTTGGGATTAACAAAAATCATACTTCTGGTTAGCTGCCTCGAGGTTCAGGCAAGCTTTCAAGACAAACAGTTACTGTTGTAGGTCTAGGCTAGGTCACATTCATTATTTTTCAATTTTTTTCATCTTATATTATCCTCATAATAATGTATTTCAAATGTAAAGCTTATGTGATATATATATATGTGGGATTTGGCCAATTACAATGCTACATTAAGTAATATACATTGGTTGGCTATGGTCTTCCAAGTCTATAAAACCTTGTTCTTGTAACAATAGAAGATTCTTATTCTTTATTGGCCATCAAGACAGCTGGATGGAAGGGCTTGGTCTCTAAGTAAACTTAATTGCTATAACATAATGTCAGAGAACCACTTCCATCCAGTAATTAAAAGATCAATTAAATACAAACAAATAAGGATGAAATGATAATATGTGGGTTTGTTGTCCAAGTTTCATCTACCAGACAATTCCATACACGCCCTTCTCTCATGACTAACTCAATATTATGCTTCATCTGTTCGTTTGTCTTTGTGGTGTTGAAATATATTTTTTCTTGAAAGCAAATACTCATTTATCATTCCAATTTCATCATCCCACACAGCTTACATATTATCCATCAGTTCTACTTTTTAAAATTTTTCATATCCTGCTCTCCTATTCAATCACTACGGAAGATCCATCAACAACTGTTATGTACTATAGAGTAAATATACTTACCTGACAGATTCACTAACGCTGGCTAGATTTGTCAATGCCATTAAAGACTCAAAGTTCTGCAAGCCAGTACAGTCCATATGGAGAAGAGCAATAAGAGGACGAACAACCTCAAGCATCTAAGATAGAGAAGAAACAAAGACAGAATAAAAGAACTTCTATTTTAATCTTCTATATGAATCTCAATCTTCCAGCGTACACTTAGTGGCTAAAACCATTTAAGCCTCATGACAAAACATTATTAGAAAATCACCCGAAACCACCACCATATAAGTATTTTCTTATGAATCTCTAAAAAGGATAACCCACTATTAAGTTGGACATCTTGTTTCCAGCAGGCATATTGTGGAGGTGGGTTGGGCAGTACACTGGATCATAACTCCCTGCTCTTTTTCAAAAAGTGCCTCTGTTTCTTTAACGTGATAATGAGCCATATTCGAGAGACCGACGCCTCACCCGAGAGACGGTAAGCTATTGTAACTTGTATTTCAGCCCTCCAGTTGAAGCACACAGACAGCAGCAGACCAATGGGTCTGATAGGATCTCCACGGTTCAGTGCACACACAGTGGCTATCTCTTAAGCCGGGCACTCACTGCCTTGTACGACGATCATACGACTGTCGCACGACGAATCCAACTCTGCTCCCTGTGAGCGATAGACGATGCAATGTCATCTGCTGATTGTTGGTAGAACGGAACGTCATTAAAAACAATTCGCACGTGTCGTCGCATTGCGTTCTTCATACAACGTCGTGTGCAGTAGTGTCCAGCTTAAGATGCTCCCATTCCTTATGTGAGGCCTTAGCTATTAAGAGCCAATGCTCCTTCGCTACCATTTAGTATTCAACTTACTCTTTGTCCAGGGAATGCTACCTCAGGATTCATGGTAATACCAATCTTTGCCAGGGCTTGTGCTGCCATTGTGCGGCCGACTAAGTTGCCTTCGTTAGCCAGTGATACTAAAGACTTGGCTCCTCCCTGCTGAACCACTAAGCCCCTATTGTTCTCATCCATAACACAGGCTAAGAAGACTCTGTGGAAATATACAACGAGACATCAAGGCTATTAAAATCATTTATTTTTATCAATCTTACTAAGATATTTTACTAATATTATTATTAATAGTGAAACCAACAAAATATAACAAAGTACATTTATGATGGTGTGTCATAGAATGGCAAGAGAAGTCCGCTGTCTACTGCCATCATGAGCCATGGCAGTCTTTCATAAAACTTAATCTCATGATGATTTGATTACATGTGACACAATAAAATAATCTAGTATACCTGCATATAAGTTCTCTACTGCTTTCACTCTCCGTCTTGCTGAGGCTAACCAAACCAGTTACAATGCCTTCCTCCAGCAACAGGTCCACCCTGCCTTTTACATAGTCATCAGAATCCTGGAAAAGTTTAAAAAAAGATTCACACCTCACAAAGAAAACATGTGTAAATGCAAATGAACAGCATAAGAACCACCAGAGGTGTTAGGCTTAGGTTAATTATTTATATGGGTGTGACTTTGGGTCTACATTTCAATGATGGAGCATGAAGAAATTCCACCATGGATGTACCTACCAATGGATGATCCTCTGGTATATGCTGTTTGGCAAACTTAGCCAGCTTCACCATCTCTGGGTCAGCTTTTTGTTGATCGTAACTATTAGTCAAGTTGACAAAGGTTGACGCTACACTATATAGAAGCGTTGGATTTCCTGTCTGCAACATGAATAAAGAAATGTTTCTTGTTTACATGCAGACCATAATGAAGTATGGAACTATCACGAACTGTTGACCAGCATCATTAAAACAGCATATCATAGAAGTGACAAATTTAAAATTGTTTGAATAACTTGCAAAATATATAATGAATTATTTTTATGAATCATACTTTATTCTTATTACCAATTTTCATAATTGAGGATGTCAAATGATTAGTCTTTGCTAAATAATTCACTCACGGTAACATGATTTTAATAAATACATATATAAATATATAAACAAATAAATGATAAAAGTAGAAAACCAAACATATAAACAAAATAATAGGTATATACTTTGGCTAACTCAATGAGTGACTTGACCGCCTGAGAGTCAGATGTGATAGTTTCTTTTACGTCAGCATCAAGGGACAGGTAGGACAGGCCCTCTGCAGCCCACTTCCTCAAATCATGATCTTTCTCGGTCTTTACCAAAAACCTGATTTAAAGAGTGCAATACACCATTTCATATAAAAATATACATTAATATAATATATTAATATGATATGATATAATAATTAATAGGCTTGCCTTCCAATCTAAATCCTAGCAGGATAAACATATACTGAATGGTAATTTCATTTTATTTTTCTATTTCATTATTTAGGCTCATGGGTAAAGTGTTGTCAATAGTAAACTTAGTCATAGAATTCATCACAATTCTTTTCACATGCAAAAACATAATATGGTTTTCATAAGAGGCTTAGAAATAGAGAAAAATCATGTCACTGACAGGAATTAAACTGAGGAGCGTGAAATCAGAAACATGCACTAATCACCAATCTACCGATACACTCAATTTCTTCTGTATCTATTGATCAGGGAGAAGGCACCTTGAGTAATTCTTTCTGAAATGGATAATGGTATGCTATATAAACATTTTAATTATTATTGAATTACCAAAGATGGTAAAATTACTTACTTCCTTAATTGCTTAGCTAGTGTCAGTGTAGAGCCCTCGTCTAATACCTTAGCACTATAATCAGATCCACCATATGAGCCTAACTTGGCGAGGCCTACGAGGGCTCGTACTTTGATCTGATCACTGGCTGACTTATACAGTTCTTTTAAGACATTCGCACCCTTTGAAATGATTCCTGCACACTTGTCCTTTTTGCTTGCTGAGTGGACAATTGCTTCCACGGCAACTCTCTAGAAGATTACAATACCAGATTGTTATTAAAAGAAAATAAAGTATAATATATAACATTAAATATTTGCTTATATTGTCAGCTTAAATATAATATAAGCTGACAATATAAGCAAATATTTATACAACCAAATAATTCTGCAGGGATGTAGTGAAGGTGGATGGAGGTGGAAGGGTCAGCCAGCATTGAAGTTTTTCACCCAATCTAAAGCATTTCTATTGTAGAAAAAGGTTAACTATGACTCTACCAGTCTTATTTTATTTAATGCCTACAAGTATAGCAAAAACAATAAAGATAGTCTGTGTGATGATGATTGACAGCAATAATAGTAATATTGAAAATAATAGCACTTGTAATCCCTCACCTGGTGAAGAGGATCTGCACTGGTTGCCATCGCAATCATGACCTCAATGACCCCTGACTGCCCAATCAAATAATGACCCACATCATACGGTCCCTGCAGGAGGGCAGAGATTGCTTGAATTGCCTCTAAATTACTTTCTAAACTGTTTCCACTGAACTTTGACCTACATAACAAATGTTTAAATGTACATCACCCAACACTATGTTGCTGTCTCCACAAATTGACATAAATAACATTTCTTTTTTGGGAAAACATAAAACTTTATTTACTGCATGCAGTTGTAACAAAAAACATTAATGCTTGACTAACTGTGTGATAGAAACATGTTTTTTGTATTCAATACCAACAAGAGAAAAAAAATAACTTGTTAGTGAAAATTTGTGTTAATTGTAACAAAATTGCAGTAAAAATAAGATACCAGTACTATATTTGCACAAAGACATGACCATTGATCATTTTAAGGCTCTGTAAATCATGATTACAAATGATATGATGATAATGATAACTATTCATAATGATGTAAATGATTTCTGTCTTAAGGAGAATATCTTTAGTGTTTTTTTTTTTACTCCTTTAACGTCTTTCTTTTAATTGTTCTCTAATTTCTCCATTGTCTAAGTTCCCCTCACGGTAGGTTTTAGTAACATAACAATAATAATAATAATAATAATAATAATAATAATAGGTATGATAATGATGGACTATTTATCTGGGTATTTTGCAGTATAACTATCAATAAATTTGCTTACCTTATAAATTTCTCACAAATTTCACGATAATACTCTCGTTTTTTGTCACTGATCATCTCATCATAGATTTTGGAGAGCGCCACTGATGCATGCATTAAAGTATGTTTGGTAATGTGTAATTTTTCTAGCTCAGGAATCTGGCCAGCAACAATGAGTAACTTTGTTAAGCCTGTGAAACATAGTTCATAATATTATCATTATTTCCTTACAATGAGTAGTGCATCTGGTTTATGTCATAATTATATTAATAATAATGATAATGATGATAACAATAATAACAACCAGAATAGACCTTATCCCAATGCAGTCTATTAACATGTTTCATTTTATTTAGTTTGAATTATTGGCAAGTTTAGATTTTAAATATGTTTTGTATGCTGATATTAAGGTATACTTAAATACTATTTAATGGATGGAAAGACAAATTTTGGTGAAATGTTGTCAGAGTAGGTTTTAGGTTGGTTGGTTCTGGAATGTGCTAAAATGAGTGGATGATTACCACCAAGAATGTGTGTGTATTTGGTTGGTGTATATTTATGTAGTATAAGGCTTACATATTTATGTTTAAAAACAAAATATAGATGTGTATAAGAGACAGTTGCTAGAGATATAGGGATGTTGCAAAAATAGAAATAAATGAATACAGTTAATAACTTTCAAATAAACCAGAAAATTGAGGCATGGTCTGGTCTGACCACAAATCTAAATCATCTACTTTTCCCCTGAACTTAATAAAAATTATGTAGAATTCAGAATAAAACATTATAAAAATTACCACCATTTGTGATGAAAGTCATTGCTCGACCAGTTCCCTCTTTTCGAGGAAGGAATTTGATGATAATGTCAATAACTGCATCCCTCCCATACCCAGATATATCTTTGTCATTAAGTAAGCCAAGGAAAAACATCATTAGATCCTTAATTTCACCAGTCAAATCTGAAAGAAAAAAAATTTGAATATTTGGTAAATATATGCATGCATTAAAGACCTGAGTGATTCCAGATTATACATTGTGTTGTATTTGCTTTTATCTATGTACATTTTTAGTTCCATATACATATATATATATTTTTTGTTTAAAATTGAAATGTCTAGTATTGCTTTGCCTGATTGAAGGTTATTTTCAGTCTCATGGTATATCAGCCTCTTGGTTGAATGCGCTGATACAACCATTTGTAAATATATATATATATATATATATATATATATATATATATATGCTTTAGCCATATTATATTCTTCATTAGTTCAAACAAAGAGTACAAAACAGCAAGAGGTCCGACTGCTGAGATTTCTTAGAAACGGAATCTTGAAAATTACTTGAACTAGAGGGCGCCCTTTAAAAAAACGTCGTTCGTAATGAACAAGTGCTTGCAATCATGGCAGTCAGACATCTTGCAATTTTATACTCTATCGTTCAAAGTAGCAGTTCCAAATAGTTATATATAATATTAGTGAGCCTTCATTCATCCCTTTATTTCTGATGAAAATGTAAACATCCCGAGCTGTCCATCACATCAATTGATTGTGAGGGAAGCATTAAAATGTAACCTATATGTAACTAACTTTGAAAGATTGAAGATAATGGCAGACCATTTACCTGGGACTACTGCCTCTTCTGCTCCCTTAGGTTCTTGTGTATCTTTTTTCAACATACTGGAAATGCTGCAAAAAAGAACATGGGCTGCTGCAGTGCATATGTTTTCTTTTTCTGAGCCTATGTATCTTCCAAGCCTTGGTAATGACAGCTCCTTCACCACAGCCAACGCCTTAAAAAAACCAAGCAAATTGTATGCTATTTTATGTAAATTATGCTGTTGCAAGAAATGAAATACATGCAATCATCTTGGGTCTAAATATTTATTATAACTCTTTATTAGGGCATCATCAGGAATATGCTGTTGCCTTTTTTTATAATGTAAAGAAAACAAAAAAATAACAGATGATGATACCCTGACAAAATTCCATATATTTTCAAATTATAAAACATACATAAGATGTATAAAAAAGCATTCATCATTTTAATAAATTGAAATAAATATTACAGAATACATTATAATACTTGAATATAATCTAGAATTTTAAAAATGTATCGTAAATATTACATGTAATCATTTAACTGATATTAGTTTGTTTTTGTATTGTCTATTGTTGGATAATTCCAATTTAATCAAATAAAATTAATCAAATATAGAAATACATTAATAAAATAAAAATGAAATAAATAAGGAAATAATATAATAATAAATTAATAACAAATACCCCCAAAAATTCTTTTATCTTTGGTACTTTGCATCCATAGGAAATAATGTGTACTTACACATGCTAATTCCAACATTTTCTTAAATAAATTATTATTATCTTAAGTATCTTACCCTAGAATGATGCCCTGTACAAAGACAAGATAGTATTCTTAGTATTGCCACAACTAGTTCTTCATCAGAGTCATCCAGATATTTCTGCAGTTTACTGACTCCATTCTCTCGAAAAATCTTCTCAGCACCAGCAGGTTGCCTTGCCAGAACGATGAGGTTGTTTGCTGCCTGCAAGAAGAAGATTCCACAAGATCATTATAAACACTGAAGCAGCTGCTGTTTAAGAGAAAATTCCTTGTAATAAGATCTAATTCTGGGCTAGTCCTTCTTCATCCAGGAGCTCGAAATGAATAGCCTCCATATTTGTTTATCATCTACTCGCTGAGCCATGGCGCGATCAAGGGCCAATCTCTTTCATCGTCGAGGTCGCAGTCCCCTTTGAAGTCAGCATGATGTTAAGTGGGGCTTAGAGTTTGCACATCACACAATATTTCAGGGGAATAGTACTCTTTAAGGGGAAGAGTACTTTCTATTGCCCGCTTCTTAACCAATCAGATGGCGAGTCGTTTGGCCAAGTGGTTAAGACAGGGGAACCGTGACATACAGCCATAATATGCCCACAGAAGGAGTGTTTACGTCGCGGCCCATGTCAGGTATCCATCCTACCTGCGAATCCTTCTACCACACTACATAAGCTAGATCATACACACTAGCTACGTAGTGACTTGATAAGAGGAAGAAGAACCAATCAGATGTCTAGAATCTATGTAAGATGTATATAATGGCGATTAATACACTCCAAGATACAGACTGATGTTCTTTCTGATGTTGCATAAAAATACTCTAGTGTAAATAAAAAAAAATAATAATTTATGTTTTTTTTTTTACAAGATTTCATGGTTGAAAAATGTTGTTCTATAGTTTTATATTTGTAATTCCCTAAATTTACAGCATTCATTTTGAAAAGAGCATCCACTTTAGTTTGCAAAAGTACTCCTGAAAAGAAACCAACTTCGAAATGAATCCCATCAAACAGTCCTAAACAAATGAAGCCCAGGGCTTCTATTTAATGTTTTACAGTATATTCTAAACAATGTTAAGCAACTGTGCCAATGAGGAATGTTTTAATGTACATTGCAATTTTACATCTCCAAGTATTTTTCCTCAAGTTAACAAATCAAATAAATACATCACAGATACCAGGCCTGTATTCAATATAAGTTTACCTGTCTTCTTGTCTCATTATCAGCATCGTTTCTTGATAAGGCATCAAACATGGAAGACACTTTGTTATCTGTTTTAGCAGTTTGCTGAGCCTGTAATGCAAAGTTCAAGATTGTTTTATTGTGTCATCCTAATAATGTGTAAAGAGAGTCAGGAACTAGGTATGGGGTGGCTCAGAGTCATGGGAAGGACTATGGTGCTGGAAGAGAATGATTAGGCTAAGAGAAGGGGCTAGAACTGAGGGATAAGAATGGGCTGAATTATGAATCAGGACTGGGTTTGTTATCTGGAGCAGTTTGAAAGGCACTGAAGCTATCAGAAAAGGATTGCTACCACAGGCAACCATGGGAGAGGGATTACAGCCATGGTGAAAGAGACTTTGAATATAATGAGGGGATTGTAAATAAAATCAATCAGAATATACACTTATAACCTACATTATAAAGCACTGAAATAATTAAAATAAATTCGGGAAAATATCAATTTTTAGCAAATATGTGAAAATTATTGTTCCTACCACTTGGGAAATATGTACTGTAAGACGCTGCAGTAGGCTCTGAACTGCAGTGTTTTTTGGGTCGAGATGAATCAGCCTACGTGCTTCTTTATAGGCTTCAGCATGCTTCTCGAGTTTCTCCAATGCCAGACATTTGCGGAACAGTGCCTTGATATCAGCTGGTTCAATATCTAAAGCTGGAATGTAAAATTGAATAGTATAAATATAGCCTCCAAATATGAAACTATAATAGTTTATTTATACATTTGATTCCTGAGAAAAAACAATGTACAAATGAGAATGGTTATGTAACAGTTTAGTTTTTGATAGCACAATGGGCTATTCGGTAGTGTCAATCAAATTTAACAACCGACCTATCAGAACAGCGCAGGCAATTCAAGATTTTTTGGCTTGGCTATTCACTGATGGAAATGATTCTTATATGTGGCAAAGACAAGCCAAACACTGTCACTCGTCACAAATCGTGTTTCAGAGATAATGGCCAAAACATGTTGAAATGTCAAAATTTTTTTAAACAATTTTATTGCACTAAACTAACCTTTACATATCTATACATCATAATATGCTGTTATTTCCCCCATTTTCAATGTTAAAACAAAAATGTTTAACAATTTGGTGATGGTTTGTGCCTGAGAAATGGCCGAACTAAATTTTGAAGGTTGATTTCTCAAATATTGTTCTTTAAACAGCTATAGGTTTAAATGATTGTAACTTCTTAAGGAAATGTTGGATTTAAATGATTCTTTTACTAGTTTATAGCTCTCATTTTCATCTGTAACCCTGTATTACACTGTCGGGCGCAGTTAGTGGCCAGCTTAAGAATGTGGAGGTATTGTATACTTTAGTGCAGATGCTGTAATGCCTTTACTTAACATTGGCACTTAGTAAGTTGATTCCAGTAAATGACCTATCATTTTAAAGCACACGGCCGCAAAGTGCGACCCATGGGCCGCATGCGGTCCCTTAGTGATTTTTTTTAGCAGCCTGCGAAAATAATTTACAAACCCTATGTGTGTGGTCGCCAACCACCTTTGGCTAGAAAACACTTTTTTTTTTTGCGGCCCGGCACCGATCATCTGTAAAAAGTAATGTAATAGTAAAACTGAGCATAAAGTGGCCATAAAACAGTGTATGAAGGTTTTTAGAAGTGAACTGAAACAGCAAAGTTTAGGTGCAGCCCTTGAAGTTGAATCAAAATTTCACATTGGCTTTACGACCACTTTTGATACCCACCCCTGTTTTAAAGCATGTAATGTAGAGAATATGAATGTTAAAAGTCTTATTACTGGTCACTGATGTTGGTTTTGGCATGACAGCTCCATCTGATATGTACACGATGTGTCTATCAATTATTACCTGAAGATGCATCCTGTGCTGCTTTCTCATACTTCTCAAGCTTCAGATGACAAGCTGATCTGTTCTTGAAGAAGACAGCTCGCTCTTTGCTCCCAGATGGACTCAACTTTAAAGCTTCAGTGTAGCAGGCAAGAGCATCATCATATTTTCCAGCCTTGAAGAAATCATTCCCTTTTTGTTTGATACGTTCTGTGTCAGAAACCTAGATGAATTAGTAAACATAAGATCTGCATTAATCAGATAAAAGTTTGTAACTGGCAGTACCAGGGGTCCCAATTTGGAAGAAATCCCTTCTGGGTTTGGTTTCTCAACCTCAAGGTCGGGGTTTCAATCCCTAGCTGTGCATTTTACTTTTGTCCTTGAGCAAGATACTTTATCTGCATTGCTTCTCTCCACCCAGGAGTATAAATCGGTACCTGGTGGAGTTGGCTACTGCGCTGATTACCAGAAGCATCACTTAAGCATGAGGACTCAATGACCAGGGAAAAACAAAGCACTTATGAATGTCATATACGAAATAATTAACTGGTTAAATGAGTGTTCTTATAACATATTAAAATTCTATTTTTTGCTGTGCATGGTGACACTTATCGGCAATGACTTTAGTGAGAAAATTGATAATAAAGAAGTAAAAACATGCAAATAATGAATTTGAGGGAGATGGGTTATTTTCTGCGAGATCCGTGCTTGCTTGCGGGAGTACGTTCCGATTTCCAAAGAGACTTGTGACTTCCGGGAGACTTGGGACCTTGCATTTCATTACTAACATAAAAAAAATAAAAAATTACAATCTTTTAACTCTAGTTTGCTTCATCAAAGTGAAAGTGAAACAGAGCTAATGAAATACCCACTACCAATAAACAGAGACCAACAACTACACCTACCTTCATAATTTAGACCTGGTTGTAGTATATCAATAAGTAGGAGAGTATGTATATAGCTATGTGAAGAATATTAGGATTAACAGTAAGTTCAAAAGCACCATTCAGACTGGTCCCAAGGAAATCCCTATACAGGCTACCCACTTCACCTGTCTGTCAGTAGCTCTCAAGACACAAGAACCCATTGAAATAGGCCCAAACAACCTCCAGTTCTCTGCATACACAATTATTGCTTTGTTTCCATATTTGGAATGTCTGGAATTCCTTGACTCTTGATTCCAGAACCTTCCAGTATGTGGTGCTGGTGGATGCCATATGATTGAACAACATTAACGACCAATATAGCAAGGCCAACTTTCCAACAAAGCTAATCTTTTGGCGGAAACTTTGGCTGGCCTATAAAATATTTTGCTTTACCTGTGTCCTGATCTAGGCCTAACCCTAGACCACAAGCAGCGGTCTAGCAGGTCCGCGTGGGTGATGTGAATCATCAGAGAAGAGTACCTTCTTGGCCTAGGCCTACGCCCTACTAAGTAATTGTTAACAATTCTAATCATCCCTAGTAGCATATATAATGATACACATTAGAAGCATTGTTTTATTCATACATCTAGGTTTTTGGTTTGTAATATAACAGAATATCGTAGTTTAAATACTTACTCCGTTTTCTTTCGCCATTCTGTACAAATAAGGCAATGTGTTTCATGTGTTTACAACTGCAACGCCCTCAACACAGTAAATCAGTGAAGCGTGAAGAAACGCATGTAAACATTGAAATGGAAATCCCAAACACGTTTTCAGCAAATACTAGAAAGGAAGCCGAAAAATCAAGTGCTACAAGTGATAGTCATCATGAAGGCAAGACCCATTCAGCAGAAATCATTCACTGGATGACGAAAGCAGTTCAGATGGTAAAATATCACGAAATTATGAAATAATGTACGATAAAACTACTCGAATATTAGGACCAAAATGAACAGAACTCTCCTAGAACGAATAGTCTTTTTAACGCGACTCTTGTGAGTCTGGTTCCGCGATAGTAGGCTGTGTACTCGAACAACATTTCGAGTAGGCCTAGAAAAGAATATTAAACCGACATAAGTTATTATAATACTATCATCATGCATCTCCTGACAAGCAACAAATGGCATTTATTTCTACAATTTGATGTTTGTTTTACCGCGCATGATGGAGAATTATGACATACCTGTGTCAGGGTCCGGAGCTAGAGATTGTGCATGAAATTTGACCTTTTTAATTTTTCATTCACTCTACACCGTACTTAAAGCAGTAGTACATAATATTCTGGCCAATTTAAATGAAAGAATTTCTAATCTCAATTTTTTTATGAGACTATATAAGGATACTGTAATGGGAAATTCCTGCTGAATCGTTGAGTATTCCATCATTGTGTTGATTGGCATTTTAAAATGTTTAAACATCTTTGTAAATCACGAGTTATGTACACTGAAATTATTGCCAAGATGAAATGCCATCACTCATAGGCCAAATTTGTTATTTGAATAACCTGGTAGGAATTATTGTAATTAGACAAACAAAAAAAATAACTGTGATGCATTTGTTTATCAACAGGCAAGAGAAGCATTTTTGAAAGATGAGGTTCCAGTGGGTTGCATCATGGTCTATGAAGGTCATATCATTGGCTGTGGTAGAAATGAAGTAAATGAAACAAAAAATGTGGGTAATATGATTGTAGAAGTAATAGCATTACCATACTGATGGGGACAAACCTACTGTTGGAATTGAAAATTTGATTGGTCATATCAGTATGCTAATATTATCACTGATCTACATATAGTGTTTGCCTTTATTTGTTAATTGGCATTCCAACATATCTGCATTGTAATTGAAATTGCGAATTTTATTTTCATTTTATTTATTTAATTATTTGACCCAAAACAGAATCAAATCAAACAACAATGGTCAGAGACAGCTTAAGCAAGAATTCACTATAAATCCAAGGAATCGGTTGCCCCTCATTTACATTAATGTAAAACACATACAAGAACTAAAACAACAGACTCAATACTACTTATTAAATAAATATAACATTGAATATAAGAATCATCTTTAATAATTTCCATTAAAATTTACAATTATAAAATCTAATAATATGTACAATAGTAATAAAAATAAACTGTAGCACAGTTAATATGAAAATATAAAAATATATAATTCAATTTTATAATCATCATCATTTACAATTTACATTAATAACCTCCATGAACTAAAATACATTGAATTAAATTAATTAAATTTTATTATCTAACAAAATTGTAAAGTAGATTATAGTTTATAATTAGCACCTAGTGTCAGTTTTGCTCACTAAATTTACTAAAATTTGTAATAACAAGAAATTAGTGTCTCAGTATCTCAACTCATGCTACTAGAATAGACCGGATTCACAATAAATTCATTAAGTTCATCGTCTCAGCATCTGGTTCGCTAAGCTGTGAAAAATTTCTACCATCTACTAAACGCAGACGGAATGACCTTATTTTTCTTTTTAAATGTTGAAATTCTAAGTTTGATTGTAACCTTGTGTCAAATTTTTATTTTCATGTTCCTGTGCGTAAGCTTCATATTAATCATTTGTTAAAAGTTCAGTATTCCCGTGTTAATGTTTGTAAAAATGGTATTGTTCGTCGTGTTGCTCTTTCATACAATAATTTAGTTCAAATGTTTCCAAGTGTCGATATTTTTAATTGTAATATTTTGACCTTTAATGTAATCCATAATATTTAATATGTAAAAATGAATTTTATGTTATTATATGTATTTTTTAATCTTTAGGCTTATATTTTTTATATCATATTGTATTTTTATGGCGACCCTGTTTTGGTGTTTGACACACTGTTGGGTCTTGAATAAATAAATAAATAAATTTTGTTTATTATTTTACATGAAATGATTTAAATTTCCTAAACAATGTTAGTTTACATAATTTAATTTTTTTAGTTAATAATTATGGTACACTATAGAATGCCAAAATGCAATTGTTAATGTTTTATAAAATTAATTCAGTAAACACAGTAATACATTATATAGAGTGTTCTATGTGCATAGAGTTTGATAGAAATATATGTAACATTGAAATTTTTGAAATTATATATGTTATATCATTGCAGGCGACCCGACATGCTGAACTAGTAGCTGCTGATCAAGTGATTGATTGGTGTAGAAATTTAGATAAAGATCACAATGCTGTTTTTAAGCGGACGACGCTGTATGTGACCGTTGAACCTTGTATTATGTGTTCTGCTGCTCTCAGGCTACTTAGTATCCTTTCAGGAAATCATAATAATATTAATCCAGGCTGCGGAGGTGATGTTGGGCCCCTTGTGGGAATTCTTTTCATGCCCTTCCCAAGGGCTTGTACAAGAAACAATATGCACATTGTTTTGACTTCATGGGTAAATTTTCCTAATCTATAATTCAAATTTTCTTGGTTTCTAATGATAATTCCATGAGCATAGAAGTTCTATAACCTCCTGGAACAGCTGAGAAATTTTCCCTTTGCAAGCTTATCTGTGATAATTATATTTTTATTATCTTTCCATTTAATTGATATTGGTCCTTCCATATTGTAGCTATTGAATTTAAATTGTTAATTGATCAGTATTGTATTGTAATAATTTGGAATAATTGTATAATATAGTTTGTTAGGTAATTAATTATATTAATTTCATTGATTGTGATTTTTAATTATTTTAATGATGTAATTAATAATAATAAGTATATTTTGGTAGTCTTTCTATATTATAATAATGCTTGTAATTTTGTTGTATAATGTTGCCTATTTTAATGTTGTATTTTATCATCTTTTTATGTAAAGCGCATTGAACAGATGTCTGAAAATGTGCTATATAAATAAATATTATTATAATCATTACTGCACCCCTAGGCCCCAGGTGGGTTTTTCCCCTGGACCCAAACTGAAAATTTACAAGACCCCCTTATTCTACAACTTTTCTCACTTGAATACATTCTAGAGCCTCCACACTCTAATACTAATGATAGATTGATTGACTGTATTTAAAAATCAATTTCTTCACTTTTTTTCATAACCAAATCACATACATTCCCCGGGTAGTATACGGTTGCCGCAATCAAAGGTTTGGTGGGTGTGGCTCTATTCTCAGTATCCATAGTGATGATCTCATTGGCAATGGAACCAAGTTTGAGGTAAGGTAAAAAATAATATCCCACACTTTTTATTTAATCCATGCTTGGAAAAGTTATTTCCAACAATACAGTATGTTCACAGAGCACTGACCAGCTTGAAATATGTCTTTTCAAAAATGAACCCCTGCTATTGCTTAAAGCAAATTTGACATGGAATTTGAATTTTTTAAGAATGTTAATTATAATTCTTAAACTGTATTTATCAAATAATTTTGTTTTTCACAGTGTGTAAGTGGTGTTTTTGCTGAGGAAGCAATTCAGATGCTGAAGGAGTTTTATGAATTCCAAAATCCAAATGGTAAGTATTAATTGATTATTAGAGTTGTTATTTAAGTTGCTACTGAATGAAATACATATAAAGAGTAGTTGAGATTGCTGATAAAGCTTAAGGCCTGTTCATACTTGCAACGATAACGATAAAAGCTAAAAAAATATTTTAACAAATCAGTTAAAATGACGTCATGTTCATGGGAAAATGATAAAATCGTAGTAGTAACAACGATTTTATCCTTGTTCCATGATTATGACATCATTTGAATTGATTTGTCAAAGTTTTTTGTTATCGTATACACAATAAATCGTTATCTTTTATTTTCTATATGAACAATTGCTTTTTTGCTTTTTATCGTATCGTTATCGTTGCAAGTATAAACAGGCCTTTATAGTGTGCTAATAAACAATCCAGTTCAACACCTCCTTTGGGACACTTCTATTAAAGTGTGACACTTTTTTGGCCAGAAAATGGATGAAAGTATATTAACACTATAGCCAACCCCTACTAAGGGAACATTTTTTTTTATCTTGCAAGGTGTCCCCTTAAAAGGGGTTATACTGTATAACAAATTCTGAATTGCTTACATGTATTTAAGTATTATATTCCAATTGAAAATATAGCTTACTTTGTTGCAAATTGAAGCAATGCACTATTTTATAAATTCATTGCATAGACCATTCAATTGGCTAGCAAGAATTCATATACCAGAAAACTGAAATTAGCAAAAAAATACTTTGTGATAATATAGATCGGTTTCCCGATTTAAACTTTTATGACTAATAAATGTTTAATGTTTTTATTAAATGCTTTTATGGCAAAGACATTTATGGCAAAGACAATAGCTAAACCAGCCACTGCTCGCAAATCGTGTTTCGGAGATAATGGCGAAAACATGTTCGAACGTCACAATTTTTGAAATCTATTTTATTGCGCTAATCAGAACTTTATATAATTATCCGTACATCATGCTATGTTGTTATTTTCTCCATTTTCAATATTAAACCAACATTTTTTAATGATTTGGAGGTGGTCTTTGCCTGAGAGAATGTCCGAAAACCTAAAACGTTGAAGGCAGATTTCTCAAATACTGTCTGTTAAGCAGCTGCTCCGGTAACTTCATAAACAGAATGTCAGATTTAAATGATTGTTTTAAAATTTTATAACTTTCATTTTACTGTTTAACCCTGTATTAATAACTAAAAATTTATTTATTTATTTTTTTTTTTTTTGCAAAATGTGACTGTTTTGGCTTGTCTGCCACATTTATTCATTGTTACTTTTATTATTGACATCTTTATTTTCTTTTCTTGTGCTGGAAAGTTTCCATCATAGTATTTAAAATTAATTGTAAGTTTTCGGTGCACCATGTGGTATATGTTACAAATCTCAATTGACAGTATTTGGTTCCGAGAAAAACCATTTGGATTGTAATGTCCCAACATTTAGGTTAGTATACTCTAACTGTCTTCAGAGGAAACGTATTAATCTTTCATAAATTTAAATTTCCAGTTTCAATATTCACACCATCAATGGTATTCTACTGATTATTTGTGAAGGTGAAGATATTTTACATCTTTGTCTTATTTCATTTCAGCTCCAAACCCAAAAATAAAGAAGTCTGGAATTAGGAATAAAAACAAAGGCACAAAACGAAAATGTCAAGAAGGAGATCTATCATTAGACACTGAGCAGAAAGCACAGAGGACTTGTGGCAGTGATGCAGAAACTAAAGGATTACCTAGTACTTTGGAGGGTGATGAGACAGGGGTCTCATGATGTGACACCGGGTGAGAGAGGCCCACATATTCAACAGGGACCTGTGTTTTTGTGGCCTAGATCCTGGATTCACAGTCCTGTAAAAAATACCTCAACTCCCAAAGCTTCATGAATACATTTGGTTATAGTGTGTCTGTGATCTGTCAGATGGGCATAAAAAATTGTTATTGAAAATTAACTGGATTTTTTAGTCAAGCAGTGGTGTAATTAATTAGTACTTACATTGAGGGATTCACAGAACCAGGGGAAGACTTAGTGGGGGAGGGGGTGGGCCAGTCCTAGCCTTCTCCCTTCATGGAAAGTCAAAAAAGAGGAAAAAAGAAAGAAAGAAAAAGAAATTATTGATCGTCCAAAACCCCTCAGAGGTTATTTCCAGGCATCTAGAGAACAAAAATTTCCTTTGGGGCCATGCGGACCATCCATCTCTAGGATAGTGTTGTCTCTCGATCGCCCCCCTCCGTTCGAACATCTCTGGATCTGCCCCTTTGGGGGAGTGGTGCAATAGTAAGTTAGGTGCCAAAGTGAAGGTGGGAGGGATGAGGAAACAGGAAACTGGAATGCTAGCTGGGGAGTGATGTAGTATAAGGTTATTTTTAACAGCGTTAGTTTTCAGTGCGGGAGCGAGAGGCATTTGGGGGCACACGCATTGTGTGGTAAATGACCCCACTCCACTCTAAATGTATGCCACTCTATTCAAGTGTTTATATCTTGATTTAATCAGTAACAACAGAAACAGTTAGAACATCAACTGGAATATTTCTCAAGAGAGTCGAGGTACCTGCACATTGTATATGGTTGCTTATTAATTCATGACCAGAAACCTTATAAGCACCATGCTTAGTGTGATGGATATCGATGCAAAACTACTTGATATTTTACAGTATAAAAAAGGATATTAATACATATAATTGTGTATTGCATGTTACAAAAAGAAACCCATTTCAAGTGAAAACCAAGTCAGAGCATCATGGCACGAGAGATAGCACCAGTACATCAGCATCATTATGCAGCTAGTATTACATTATTTATTATATATGTTGTTTTTAGAATAATGCAGGGATGAGACCAGCAGTGGGGGAGGGTCAGGAGAGTTGGGAAAAAAAGACACAATTTGTTGGGGTATGTATTTATGTATTTTCTCATATTAGTAGACTCTAAAATCGATTATATAAGCCCTTATAACCCTTGAGGGTTTTGCCCCTGGACCATTCGGCCCCTCCCCGTCGCTCGGACGCCACCCCCTGTGTCCGAAAATGAAATGAAATCTCTAAACACATGGTAAAGCTCTGTCCACACTATAAAAAACTTGTATTCCCATATATAGTCCTGATGTGCCTATATATGGTTATGATGTGATGTCATCATGACCATATTTAGGCATATCGCATGTTTTTGTCATATAAAATCTGATAGTGTGGACAGGCTTAAGACTTTTTGGACGTTCGTAAAAAACAGCAGTTGCGAGTCGTAACGAGTTTTGAATGAACGTTTCATTAACATATATTTGCTGGTATTGTATTATGTTTATAATTTAAGTAGGTACAAAAACGTTTGGCCCCTAGCCATTGCTTACTGTGTTTTCACGTTTCAGAGCCCTTGTCTGGGAACTTAAAACCTAGTTTATGCCGATTTGTTTCCAGTATTGTACACTCGATGGTTCAATAAATATGTTGTAGGTGTAATATTTTTGATTTATCTATTAATATGTACCTATGAAAATGTACCTATGCCTATATCAACTTCCTGGGATTTGATGGATTAGGCCTACATTTAACATCATGGATTTTGATGGGCAAAACGTTATCCTGTGGGCTAACCAAACTGTATGTTAAAGGATACAGATTGACTTGGGAATACAGAGTATGCTGATAACAAAAATTAAACTTGACCTAAAAGACATTATTTTTTTATAATAAAAGTTGATTCAGATTGTACATTCAGATATTTCGAATAGACAACTTCATGAAATTGGGACACGTGTTGCACAACCAGTCTTAATAAATTACTTGATTTTTGTTACGTTAAAACAAAGATGCATTCAAGAACCTAATTTGGAATAAACACCTCCTCAAGTAAACGCCCCGGGGCGTATATTTTTTACTGAATAAATGCTCCCCCCAAATGATTGCAAACAAAACTATATGGAAGCAATCACATTCTATTAATGTTCTACTCCAGTAGGATTACATTTTTCTAACCTGGTTGAGATCAATATGTCTTTATGATTACGCAACAACACATTGGCGGTAATTATGTGTTGTAGTTTTTATTTGAGTATATATTAAGTTTACATGAAAAAAAATAACGCCTCTCTCGAATGAACGCCACCTCAAGAACCCTTTTCAACAATAGAGGCCCGGGCGTTTATTTGAATAAATACGGTAACTATTTAAAAGTATAATTAATATATAATATAATGCCCTAATGTCATTACCATCTTTGCTGGCATTAATTACAGTGGTCATCTAGAAGGCATATTTAATCTTCCAAATAGGAATGTTGAATAATTCTGTTCAAGAATGTGAAGTAATTCAATGTTAATATTTAAGTAGGCCTACATTAAATATTGAATTAGTTGTTTATATTTTTGTGAAGAAATTGGCTTTTATTAGGACCTACCAAGTCTCCAAACAGTTTTAAAAAATCTGCAATAACCATTGACACATAAAAAATGTATTGGCATTCCGTAACATATTTATTTCTCTGGATGATCTGAGAGCTTGTGTGTTGATATACATTTTTTTGTGCCTAGGGATCGGTTGTGGAAATGGTAGTCGGAAGTTACTGACATATGGTGTTGCCCAGCAGTCAATCAAAATATTGCTCAATAAATCCACCCATTTGTAGGACCGCGTATTTCACGGATGTTGTCAGAACAATTAGAAAACAAAATTCAGGCCTATGTTGTGAACGGCTAATTAAGGTACACATTTTTGAAAATGAAATCCGGAAAGCTGGAAGTATTACTATTGGGGCCTAGCTTATATACTGGTACGCTTCAAGACGTACGGTCTTTAGAGCTATGACAAGAGCTGGCGTGAACATGAAATATTATCGTCTTTTTGTTTCGAAATCCACAAATGAATACCACCTTATGACCAGAATATCAATCGGAGGATGTTGAGCACTTTGTGTAGGCCTACTCTAAGTAGAATCACCAATTATTTATTGATGTAAAATTTGCGCAAGCGAAAAATATTAACCTCCTTTAGTATTTGTTATGATTCTTGTAGAACCAACTGATTTTAGACCTAGAAGATAATTTTTCACAAGTTCAGGTGCCTCAAAATGCGATTGATCCTAATTTTGACCCGTCTTCTTGTGCGTGGAAATCACTGACAGCATTATCTATGTATTGAAGTCTCTAAAGACATCAGCGGAAAACAATACTTAAGTTCTAGTCGCCCACTCTTATAACTGCTATCCCTTAGGTGTCCATATAATAAGTAGAAAACCAAATTCTTAGATATGGGTCCTTAAAAGTCGTTTGAAAATTTGGTAGGTAAAATGTTTTCACAACGTAATCGCCACTACACTGCAGAGTATTATGCAAATCTTGCTGCAATATACAGCCAATCAAAGAAAGATGAAGAGTCACACTCTTACATTAGGCCTACTTAACAAGAATAGAAGGGATTTGTCACCGGAGGGGGGAAAGGGTGAAGTACTAATCGAGGACCTTGGTCTAAGGGGGAGTGTTTGGGAGGGCGCGTTCTGGAAATGACATATTATATACATACATACATACGATTTTTTTTGTTAGAAAACTCAATAGGCCTAATGTTTTTGTAAGCCCATGGATGAAACACTCGTGATCAAACGTTAATTATTTTTACTTTATTTAAACGTTTAAATTATTTTTAGGGAATTGAAATGTCAGCTGGATAAGCTGTTTCAATCATCAAAACAATACACACATTCGGATAACAACTATAATTACTATTTAAGAATAGGAAATCTACTTTGCTTTTCAAAGCTTCCTATGGATTTATAAAACATTAATCAAAAGCTGAAGAAAAGAGAATAAGACGAAATTTTCCCATGTGATATATGTGACTTTATCAAAGAACTTGCTTAAAAGCTTACAAACTTTGATGTCACCAGCGTATTTGATCCTATTTCAATTTCGTTTTTCTGTTCAACCCCCATCGCCAAAGTAAATTAATTATAGTGACAGGAGGCCAAAATATATACCATCGGCGATTACACAGAGTTTTATAATAAACAATATAATCGGCCTATTAATAATAATATTTAAAAATTACGCCTTCCCATGCACTAAAACTTGCTTATCAAAGAGACAAATATAGTAAAAAAAATCACCTAATTATTACCTCGCTCCTCTAGCTAGCGCCCAAACATTTCCATCCCCCTCGTCCTCCCCCGCCCATGTCAATTCTAAACACTGATTATTGCTACCACTATTAATACCACTAATAATAATGATGATAATAATAATAATTATTATTATTATTTTAGCATTAAAAAAAATATTTAATATTCGGCCCTCATTGCATTTTTTATGTTTACTTCCAAAAAACCTTCTCCTATATTTACACCATAACTCCTGTCTCTTATACACA